GAAGAAAAAAGAAAGAAAGAAAGAAGGAAATAAGCTTTGAAGGGTTTGTTTGTTTGGGATTTCGTGTAGGTTTTCGGAAAAGCAATTTTTCTGCTCGGCCGGAAAATAGCAATATTTTTCCAGGTGATGAGCGTCATAATTAATAAGGGGTTGAAGTGTAGTAAAATAGCAAAAGGATGAAAATATGGGGCGCTGTTCCATTTTTTTTTTTTTTAAGTTTGTGTTTATTTTATTTGTAGATATCTCCATGCATTTGGGCACAGTTCCATATGTCTTTCTTTTTTTCTTACATCTTATTTTCAGAAAATTAGTGTGTGTGTGTGTGTGTGTGTGTGTGTGTGTGTGTTGATGAGGGATATAGATCTGGTTTTAAATGTTGTCATAAATTTTCTTAGCTCTCTTGTAATGAAGATATATTTTTGTTTGTTTCTTTGTTTGCTTTCTTGGGCTATCCCTTTTTCATGCTTAATTTTTTCTTCTTTTCTAGGATATATAGTACAGTACCTCTCTCCCAAGAACTAAAAATGGTTCAAAGATTGAATCTTTATAATGTTTTTATGACCACCTTGCTTTTGTGTGTATGTGGGTTGCTGTCAAATCGCTTGTTCTTGAAAAATCCATCGATCTTGGTCGATTTTGAGCCGGCCATGAACCATGTTTTTGGTCTTAATCTAATTTCTTTCTAGGCTCAAATTTTACTTTGATGAAATCATATGTATTTTTCATTTTCATGGTTTTCTTCTTTTCGGACAGCATAGTACCTAACCTCTTTCTCAAGAACTAAAAATGGTTCAAAGTTTGGATCTTTATTATTATTATTTTTTTTTTATCACCACACTTAGCTAAAATCTCTCTAGACTAAAAAAATTCCTTGATTTGATTCTGATATCACATCTTCTCATTTTCTGCCTTTTCTGTTTATGACTTTGCAAACCCCTCTTGTGTTTCTTGTATTTTATAAAGTGTTTCTCTTATATTTCATTCATTTTCTTCTTGTCAAAGATTCAAGAAGTGTCTCTAATTCTCGAGTTTAATTATATTATGCTAACACTTTTCTGTGTTTGATGAACATATGTTGTTCTTTTCAACTCATACAAGTGTAACATATTCTTTTTATCTAGTATGATGAAATTGTAATTCTTAGCTATCTCAATTGAATCTAAAACTTTTCAATGGGGAGTCTTTTGTTATCAACTCTAATAATATGAACTTTTTGAAATGTTTCTTTTTCCTACAACCCTGCAAGGAAATTAAACAAAAAAAAAGAAAAAAAAAGAGTTGTTGTATGCCAAAAAAATGATGTCAAGATCTACTAATCAAGAAATTTTATGTCCTTTTTTTTTTCACTAACAAAAAAACCCAAGTAAGCTGTGTCTTAAATTTCTCTAGGACAAAGATTTCACTTTTTCTTTTTTTCTTTTTTCTTGTTCACTTGAAACAAGTATTTGTTTCTTTTAATGGTTCAGTAGGGTTTTTGAAAATGGGAAGGGGAAAGATCGAAATCAAGCGGATCGAAAATAACACCAACCGACAGGTTACTTTCTGCAAACGCCGAAACGGGCTTTTGAAGAAAGCTTACGAGCTTTCGATTCTCTGTGATGCTGAGGTGGCTTTAATCGTGTTTTCGAGCCGTGGCCGTGTCTCTGAGTATGCCAACTGCAAGTAAATGTTCATTGCCCTTCTTTCTTCATGAAAAATTTTCACTAGTCAATTAATCATGAGCATCATCTCTTTACTTTTTTCTAACTAAAGAAAGTACTCAAAGCTAGTTTAGAGGGGATTTTCACACATGTATATAGATCACTAAATGCAATGAACTTTGATATCTACTAAATTTTCACATCAAAAATTGTTTTATCATCCAACATATTAATTACATATATAAGTATATGCACTTTCCAGACACAATAATTTGACCCTGCAGAGAAAAATTCAGTCACCTTTTGATTCTTTCACATTTATGTTGTTTGAGACTCTCAGTTTAGTCCTTCAATGTTTTCCTATTCAAGCATTATAAAGCTGATCTCAATTTTGTTTTTAGTTCATGTTTTTTTTGTTGTAGGCAGAAAGATAAAGGTATGAATTGTTTTGCCTTTGTAATCTATAGCATATGCAAAAGGGAAGAGAAAAATGAAAGAAAAAAAAGGGGGGAAAATCTGGCTACTAAACTATGTCTCTAGGGTTTTATGTCTACACCATATCCATTAGTGTACACATTTGAACATAGAAAAAAAAAATAATTTAATAATAAGAAAAAAGGTGCAGTTTTTACAGATTTAATTTCATTGCTTAAATAATTAATGGAAAAAAACACAATATGTGTCTTAAAATTATCAAGCATGTCTTGAATTTTATTTCCAAATTCAGCTTTGAATATTCTTTATTATGAATTTATTTGTACATGGCCAGATGTAATAGCTTTTATCAGGTCCAAGCCTGCAACCATTCATTTCATTTTTATTTATTTTTTTTATTTCCATTTCTGGCTTTCAAGATTCTATTCAAGAAAATTCTATTTGTGAAAAAAGTACAAACTTCAATTCACACTTTACAATTTTAAAATATTGTATTGTAACTTGATATGACTAAACTAATAATGTTATCCCACAAGTATTATTTTTGGTGTGTTTGAAGTTATCTATCATCTGTATAAATTCTTAGTGTTTTGATTAGAGTATATGTATATGTACAGCATTAGATCAACCATAGAAAGATACAAGAAAGCAACTGCAGATAGTTCAAGTGTCTACACAGCTCAAGAAATCAATGCTCAAGTAAGTTACACATGATCATGTCTGATTGATTGTACATTTTTTTGCAATTGATCGAATCCGATTCGATCATTTTTCAAACCAATGTAATCAGTACAAGTGATAATATATATATTTTTTTCTTTTTTAATCAAAAGTTTTAATCTTTGGAGTGAATGCAGTTTTACCAACAAGAGTCCAAGAAGCTACGTCAGCAAATACAAATGCTCCAAAACTCCAACAGGTAAAACACTTATATAGTTCATTATAAGAGGGGAAAACTTCACCCATGAAAAAGGGAAAAAAGGTTGGATTATGAAAAGATCACTAATCATATAACTGTACACTCGTTTCACATCCAATAGGCATCTTATGGGTGAAGGGCTGAGCTCTCTAAATGTCAAAGAACTGAAGCAGGTCGAAAGCCGTCTCGAGAAAGGCATCGCAAGAATCAGGGGCAAGAAGGTAAATAAACACCTCGGCTGATCAATTTTCCAGTTAATTTTGCTTCGACTAATTACTCTAATTATAACTCACCGTGCCATCCCTTTTTTTCTTATTTTTTTTTTCTATTGAACAGCATGAAATGATACTTGCTGAGACTGAGAATTTGCAGAAAAGGGTACAATTTTTGTCAAATTTAATAATCTTGATCATTTCTTTTCGATTTTTTAGTTTCTTGCGCCACGACAAAAAAACATGACAGCTCTAGTAATTTTTTCGACATTTTTACTCATGCAGGAGATCCAGCTGGAGCAGGAAAATGCTTGCCTCAGAGCTAAGGTAAAATAATATTTAATAGATACTCTGAAAAGGCTCTTTGCTTATTTGTTTCGATTTTTACACCGGCTTATTGTATATCACATTGAAAATTGTCGATTTTTTCAGATTCAAGAAAACGAAAAGCTTCAAGAACTTAGCATGATGCCCTCTGGACAGGACTTTGCTTTGCAGGCTTATTTCGCACGTGATGTGCTTCAGCTCAATATGATGGAGACTGCCACATTATCCCATCCCTGAAAATAAGAATCTCCATATCGGGTATCGATTTTTTTTTTTCTTTTTTTTTTCATTTCTTGAAGCTAAAAACATTTTGCAAGAATCTTGTTCTCTTCATTTAAATGTCATATATATATAACTAAGACCAAAGTTCCAACCTTTTCTGGTTTTTCATGCAGACTCAAGAGATGCCAATGTCAAGATAATGGTTACTATTACCGGTTTTTTCTTTTGTTCGATTATGTAATAGGGACAGTCTTTCGTGCCTCTTTTTAGCGAGCATTGTTAAGTAACTACTCCACTGTGATCTCTACACATATTCGATAATGTTAAAGCTTGCAATTTTTATCACCTAAGCAGATTTACAACATTATAATAAAAAAAGAAACATTAAAAAAAAATGCTAAATGAATCCGATTCAGGAAAACATAATTCAGAAATCTTGAACATAAATCAGCATAATAATGCAAATTAAGGCAGCTCACATAATAATGCATCGAAATTTTGCTGCTTCTATCTTGTCAGCTATTTCTCTTTCAGCATTGTGCAAATCAAACTTCATTTTACGGATTTCTTCATTCAAATGATCGCGAGAGGCTTTGGCCTCTTCTTCTGCCTTGAGCCGAGCCTTTTGCTCCTCAGCCAGTTGCTGCACAAGCTTTTCAGTCGCCTTTCTGAGTTTCGACTCGATCTAAATAAACACATTTCAAAA